TCTCTATTAACCCTTTCCTTCCCCAGAAGTGGAAGGAGAAAAGCGAGTGAGACTTTGGATTAGAAATTAGAACTACTTTATAAAGCAATAACAATGAAAAAGAGTATAATAATACTACTAATAAGAATAATAGAAATAAAAATATACAAAACCAATATTGAGCTTCCCAATGATGATCATGGAATTGCAAGTCATGGTGGCTCACACCACTCTCGAGACAGGGTGGGCACCCAGATGTCCTGGACCAAACTGAGCAGCAGATGGGAACTGGATTCAAGAATATATGTATCAGGATTGAAGGTAGGAGAATGAGCAGAGTCCCATGGTGTTGCCAACCATGTTAGAAGGTGACCTGATCCCCGTGACCCCTTCACTTTATACTGAGTATGATGTGGATGAGATGGAATGCTTCATTGGTCAGTTTTTGGTCACCTGTCATGTCCGCGCTTTCCCACAGTTGTGACCCTTTTATGCCCTTTCAGATGTGGATCATAAGAGGGCCAGCAGTGACCTTGGTTCCCATAGGAATAAGTATAAACAGGGGCCTTTCTGCCTACCAATCCTACTGTTACTTTAGTAACAGTAAACATCAAGCATTACCAGTTCTGAAAGCAGACAGTGTGTGAAAAACATGTAACCAACTTCAGAAAGTGCAATTACTTAGAAGAACCTTAACTGAAGGAAAAATCTGCTGAAATAATTGGGCCTGTTTTAGCCAAACCAAAACATTCAGCTGCCATTCTGTGGCCCCAATGTACTAGGCAATTTCTACTATGATGTTCCTCAAGTCATTAGACTGGCCTGCACTACCACCTGCATGGGTGAACTACAGATGGTATTACTCTTTTTGTAATGTTATTTCTTACATTGTCATCTTGCTGAAGATAAGGACATGCATCACAGAAGGGAAGCAGAAAGCCCTGTCTACCTGTGGAACACAGATACCCATTGTGAGCTTAATATTCATCCCCTGCATCTTCATCTATGCTCAGCCTTATAAGAAATTCCCTATGGATAAAGTGGCCTCCATTGTTTATACCGTAGTCACTCCAGTGTTAAACACAATGATCTACACACTGAGAAACACTGAGATGAAGAAGACCATCAGGAGAACACTGGGGAAAATCATTCTCTCAGGTGCGTTACAGAAACCAGACCAACCAGCATATCCAAAGAGATCACATCTGATGCTTCTGTGAGAAAACTGTGTTCACCACTGAGATTCCTGCTCCTTCAGTAAGTGAGCAAATTTGTAGATGTGAGATGAGAACATTCACCTCACATCAGCTTAGGAAGGTCAATAACATGTTTTCGTGTTCTCCACGGAGTGTGCAGTACAGTATAATTTGTAGGGCCAAATGAGAGTTTTCTGTAATAAACCATTTGCAAAGACAGCACCATGGCACACCCTGGATACTAGAGGCCCTAACCATGCCCTTGTCCTCTCCTGTGGAAATCACAGGTGGACCTTCCACTCCAGCACGTCTCGCTTCTCTTTACCAATCCAGTGTAGCTTCCTCTCTAAGTTAACACACCTGAAAGTTAGATTGGTAAACTTTCTACTTGTCACATAGTTACAAAGGGTCTTTATAGTAGTGTCAGCTGTACTTTTAATGCACTCCCTTTTTCCTCCCTTATCCTCACTTCAGGTGGACTGTATAGCTTTTAAGATCCTTCCTGGAGTGGAGCATCCTGGTCATTAGACAACATGGAGGTGGTTGAGGGATAGAAATGTCCCAAGGATAACTGAAGTGTGCTCTAGGGCTGGATGTTCCCCTCACCATTCTTCTCTTCTTTGCTCTGCCCCATCCTACAGTTTCATCCCAGCAATCCTTACATGATCATGGTCTCTTACATATCCACAGAGCCTTCTACACAAAACAAGCATCCTGCACACGGTGCTATACAAGGACAAATGTGGCAAGTGGGGAGGCAAACAGCCCATGCTGTTTCCTTCATTAGAAAGAAATTCAAAGTTCTTTGTAGGTCCTTGCAGAAAAGTTAAAGTTTTTTAAGAAATGTCAGGTGCAAAACTGAAACGCCACCTGGAACAAGGCAGAGACGTGGGGGAGCAGAATGGATGCAGAGAAGAGGAGATTCTGTCTGCAGGAATATCTGTTGTCACCTCAAGGAGGATGTTGGGTGGAGAAGAAACCTTAGAAGTTTCTAGAACTGTCCCAGAAAGTGCTGCTGAGCATCAGGCCACCTAACCTACAAGTGACCTATTCTGAGGCTCACAGTCAGAATTAGCGTAGTCCTTTGGATCTCAAAGGCAGAGGAGTATCCTGTCTGCCCCACATGGTAGGCTAACAAGGCCCCTCAAAGGGCCTGTGGGGTAGGTACTGTGCCAGAGATGATGAAAGTTCTGTGCACTGTCGGTGCAGCCAGATTCCCCTCATAGGGGCTAGCTATGGATGGTACAGATGTGAATGGTTCTGGCCTGTTGGCTGGGGTAAATTACTTAGATGACATAGAAAAATACTAGTTGTCTTTCACTGCTAAAGGACTGGTTTCAGGGCCACTAACAGGAGTGCAAAGAGACAGAAACTGTGTTCCAGAAACTGCGGGACTGCTCAGAATGGTGGTAACCATGCTCCTCGAGAGTGATGGAGCCAGCCCTAGCTGAATAAAGTTCCCCAGTACATCAAAGACCTGATCATGTACACTATTCTAGAGTGGGGATGGTGCTGTCCAGGTGCCGGTGCTTCTTGCTGTGTTTAGAGGGATGGTGCTTTCATACATGGGAAAGTGAGTTGCCAGGTGAAGGAGTCATGGGGTGAAGTGAGTGGACTATGCACCAGAGAACCAGAACAGGATTACAAGAAGAGAGCAGAGGCTATAGCCAAAGTCCCTTGTGGCAATGAAGGATGTACAAGTGGAGGGCACACTTTATCGAGTGATGAGGAAGATTCCCAGGATGGGGGAGGCTGGATGCTTGTGGCCTTTGACAGAGGACAAAGGCACTCATTTTCTTTTGCCAGAGAATAAGTAGGACAGTTAAGGAAGGAGATAAATAACAAAAACCCCCTACTTCATGTGTAACTATATTTGGATTCTTACAGTATACAGCAGAAAGTGTTTCACAAGGACTGAGAACACTATGATTTGTGAGGGTGCAATGCCTTCTGGGCTATTATTGGAAGACTTTGTGGATGGAGCCATAATTAGTCCACTCTGCACCTACCCTGTCTACAGAATATGCACTACAGTAAGAAAACTATCTTCTCTGAAATCCTCATTTCCCCTCAAAATGAATTAGTTGGCTGATTCAAGTCATAATACAGTGGGTGAACAATTGGCTGATGGGTCAGGCTCAAAGACTTAGAGTAAATGAAGTTACATCAGGCTGACAGCCAGTCACTAGCAGGGTTTCCCAGGATTTAATTTTAGGGTAGTACTCTGTAATGTTTTTACAAAACAGAGAAGTCCAATGTACATTAAGTAAGTTTGCCAATGATACTAAACTAGGAGGAGCTGTGGACTCCCTCGAGGGTAGAGAGGCCTTACAGAGAGATCTGGGTAGACTTGAGAGCTGGGCAATCACCAACCATATGAAATTTAACAAGAGCAAGTGCCAGATTCTGCACCTGGGATGGGGTAATCCTGCTTATACAAAAAACTGGGGGATGAGAGTGTGGAGAGCAGCCCTATGGAAAGAGATCTGGGGGTTTGGGTTGATGGCAAGTTGAACATGAGTCAACAGTGTGTCCTTCATGGATGAAGCCCCCAACCCATGTAGCTCCAACTAGGACACAGCATACCACCTGTATGTGATGTAGTAGCCTACTGTAGTGAGGAGGTTTGCAAATGGCTACATAATGGTCATAGGCCATACCTATGAGCAGGGAAGCTTCAACTGCTCCCAGGAAGTGGAGGAAGAAAAGCTAGGTCATGCAGGCACTGTGGGAGATGGTCTTACGATGTGACAAAAAGTTAACCAACATTTTGGGTGGGGTCACAGAACAGTAGCAGATGTCCAAGAATGCCAAATTGGCCAGGAAAAAATACATGGGTGATCCCAGTTGGGAATCCCCCTGAATTTTGAGAATGGTAGGATGTTGCCTGGCAGAATGATAATATAGAAGAGCAGGAAGAAGAAGAAGAGAATAATCTGGACTTCATGATTTTGGGACAATCTCAACAGAACAAAGTCTGTAACTACTGTGTAGTTCTCATGCTCCATTTCCACTCTGCAGAACCCTGAAAAACAGACAATAATCATGTAAAAAAAAACCCACTAGTGCAAATCTACAGAAATGTTTAAACAACTTGGGGCATATTTAGCTTGCCTAAAATGCATGCCCTTTTCCCATTTCCTTGTTTTAGGGAACTCCTAATGGTGAAATACTTGAAAGCCAGTAAATTAGATTCCCACTAACTTGGGTGTTTTACTGAAAATGTAGACTGGAAATGTCCATATCTTATCAGATGTTCTTTGTTTTCTCTGTGCCCTGGGAACTGGCACCTGGATGGAAAATAGGTCATAAAATATCAGTCCATTCTTCCATGGGTAGGCTAATTTTTGTGGTTTACAGTGTAGATGACTTTATCTGAGCTAGTCATGTCTACTCCCTGTCCAGTTGACAAAAGCAGGTCCTTCCAGGGTAGACAGATTTAGTTCTAGGGTAGACAGCTAAACAAAGCTAGATGAACTGCATTCTAAAATTACAAAATTAACCACAATCATATCCACTGATTATAAAAAGAAACTAACTTTAGATCACTCACATCTGAAGGAAGGTTTATGAATCCTCTGGGTGAATTCATCTGGCAGCTGCAAAGTTGTTTGCAATTAAACAATTTAAAATCCCTTAATACTTAATTATGTCAGTATAGCCAGCCCAGGGAATAGACTAATTCCATCCTAAATTTTCTCTAGCATATATCAGTTCAAGTGTTTTCAAAATACTTAATTTTTCCCAATTGTCTTTCAATGGATCTGAGAACCTCCAGACCACATTCAGACTTCCACCTTTCTCCAGAGAAATCCCACAGCAGTGTCTAATTTTCAGCAGAACAGTGGAAACATAAAGAAAACTCAATTATCTAAATATCTCTATGAAATTAATCCACCACGAATTGGCATGATGGCAGTCTGGAAAACAAGCTGACATTTTTTCATAGCATGTGTCTAATAATTTCGTTTACATATATTTTGAATAGAGCTGTGGATTTTGACACCTCTATCATAAAAAAAAAAAAAAAAAAAAAAAAAAAAAAAAAAAAAAACCATAAAAATTGGTCAGATTTCTTTAAAAGTGTTTCTATTTATCTAAGTTCTTTTATTCCTCCCACTTCTTTTTCTTCTTTTAGGTCAGGAGAAAATTGTATGAGTTTTGCCTCCAGTTTTTTTAACACTTTTCTTCCATTTTGCTACAAAGGTAGTATGTCTGTCTGCATTATGGTGTCTGCACATTAATGTATTAGTAACTTCACCAGCAGTGTTGAGGTAGAGAATAAAGCATACTGAAAATGCTTCAGTGGGAGAAAATGCTCAGACCTGTAAGGATTACTTAGTTTTAGAACAGTTTTAGTTTAGTTCTGTTATTGAGACCAGTGAGAAATGAAATCAGTCTTGACAGTGGAACCTAAAAAAGTAAAAACAGCTGAGAAAAGGAGAAAGTGGCAAAAAGTATTAAAATTCAGAATAAAGAAAAAGAAAAGAAAAGAAAGTAAGAAAGGTATAAAAACAAGAAAAAAAGACTGCTTATGTCACTTTTTAATGCTTTTGTCAAAAGTCAAGATTTCATATCATGTCATGAAATTAAAAAATTTTTTTCTTTCTCGGACAGCTGAAGGGCTCATTATGCTGGTTGTGTCTATAAATTGACCGATATTTAATTTCTCATCTGACTGCAAATCCTTATCCATGTGGATCTAAGTTTCTCTTTGCCTCACTTTAAATTCCCTCTAAGGGGTTTGGTCAGCTCCAGTCTCTTCCCATCTCATCACGTGACAGATTCCTGCAGGAACCTACAACTCTGCTCTGGTCTCTTGTATCGTATTATATTCTACACATCCAGCTAATGCAGAAACACCACTCTCCCCTCACCTCTACTTGGTTATAGAGACTTCTGTAGATGCACATGACTTCCATAGCTTTGCATCTACAACTCTCCCACACAGCTCAGTATCTACTACCCTCTGGGTTGTTCAGTTCTAATCAGCAAAGAACCAATCAAGGTTGCTCCTTCTTTGCTGTTTCCTGCCACACCACTTTAGATAGGTGGTAAATATTTCCCAGTTTTTCTACCTACTTCTGTGATGTTATCAGTCTGCCTATAGAATCGTAGAATCATTTAGGTTGGAAAAGACCTTTAAGATCATCAAGTTCAACTGTTAACCTAGCACTGCCAAGTCCACCACTAAAACATGTCCCTAAGCACCATGTCTACACACCTTTTAAGTGCCCTCAGGGATGATGACTCTACCACTTCCCTGGGCAGCCTGTTCCAATGCTTGACAACCCTTTCGGTGAAGAAATTCTTCCTAATATCCAATCTAAACCTCACCTGGCACAACATGAGGCCATTTCCTCTTGTCCTATTGCTTGTAACTTGGCAGAAGAGACTGACCCCCCACCTTACTGCTACCTCCTTTCAGGTAGTTACAGAGATCAATATGGTCTCCTCTCAGCCTGCTTCTCCAGACTGAACAACCCCAGTTCTCTCAGCCACTCCTCATCAGACTTGTTCTCTAGACCCTTCACCAGCTTTCTCTCCACTCTTCATCTGAGATTGTGGTTTACTCAGTGTCTCTTCCACAGTGAAAAAGACTGGTTGCTCTGAACTCAGCTCTATTCCTTCTTATTTTCACTGCTGGATTTTTGTCTTCACCGCTGGAAACATTTACCAAGAAAGCTACATAATGCACTTCTTCATTTGTCTCTTTTCAGTCTTTTAAATGATATAGTTCAAAAAGAAATAGCTTACAGGAGACCTGAGAATCACAGTCTATGAGTGTGATGCCTCATTCTGGTCTTTTCTATAGTGAAGCCATCTTTTCATGAGTTATTTATAGGGGTGTTCATACTGCATAATTTACAATGCTGTTGATGTAGATACCTACATCTGATTAACTCAACATAGCGACCTGAGGGACAGAGTGGAAGGAAAAAGATACAATTCCTCTTAGGAAGTGTAGGGATGGAACCCAGGTCCTAAACAGAGGTGTCAAGTGCAATTTTACATAATCCAGAATAATTTGCCTGGCCTTCAATGTCTCATCTAGAAGACTGAGTCCTGCATCTTACCAGCCGATCTGGTGGAGATGTCTGAGATAGCTTCCATTACTATCAGAGTGGTTCAGTCTATGGTTGACTATTTGAGTTCTACTTTACATGTCTAGCTCAGACTTTTATTCTATTTTTATCTTTGGACAGATGAACTGTACCTATAATCTCTGAATTTATCCCCTGGTTATTTCTGACTGATAGGAAATTCCTGAGCCTAAATGATTGTGTAACTACTACAGAAACAAATTTTATCTGCTGCTAGGAGGATGATGAATAAACCCTCGCTGGATCTGCTAACGTCTTCATCAGAGAGTGGCATACTGTTCTTCAGTGCAATACTTATGTCCACCTGTGGATCTAAATGAAGTAAGATTCTGGGCTTTTAACCACTATTACCTACACAATTTGGTCATGGGCATCAAAGAATACGTGCTGATCCAAGAAATTTCATTGTTAGTATCATTAATGTTTTGGCAGACTAAGCAAAATATAACAATCACTCATTACTAGTCCTATCACAGTAATACGAACACTCACCTGATTTCTGTTTAAGATCTTTACTGAAAAACTCAGTAGAAACAAGTATCTGTCCCTTTTCCCTGAAGTTAAGTTCTCACCCTTCTTGTTATCCATAGTTCTAGGTCATGTGTCCTTCATCCTCAGGCAAAGTGAGCAGTCAGCATCTCAAGGCCTTGTACTGGGATGAGTACAGTATTGTGTGTGGCACTTCTCTACCTTGTTGATTCTGAATTCTCTTAAGGTTATTCTTATTGACAGTGATTTTATCAGTCCTCCCTGAATCATGTATGAATGCAAGACAGCTGAGACCTAAACTCTCCTAATCCCTACATCTCTTATCCCCTGTCTTCCCAAGTCCTTCCCAAGTACCAACAGCTTTTCACCTACCCAACTCCTAGCTTCACTCCACACCAGGATTCTGTATTTTTGAAGCTTATTGCAATCCTAGCTTTAAAATCCTACAAACACTTGCTAACAGCTTCTTTATGCATCTCCCTTTCAGGAGCTCTATTGAGAGTCCATCATGCTGACCTGAAGTGTTGCTCTTCTGGCCATGAATCCTCTCCCACACACCCATGAATTTAGTACTGCTGTGCATGCAGCAGAGTTTGGCTCTTTTAAATGCCAGACCCACTCATAGTGATTTGTCTTCCTGCCCGGTTGTCAGCCCTAGCAACAGAGAATGCAACCAAACTGCCTGTGACCTTATCTGCTTCACTCACTACCTGATGACAGAGTGCAAACATTGTGTGCCAGAGGATAGAGATTTTTTCTCTTTGCATCCTCTAGATAATGCTTTCTTTGTCTCTTCAGAGTGTGCAGGTTGTTTCTGTTTCCAAGGATGAAGATTATGTAATTGTGGCAGGAGCTCTGGTTCTGGAGTGCCGACTCAGATGTCCAGGGGTCTTAATAAAAGCTCTAAGGTGTAGGACTTTATTTATAATTTTTTATTAGTATTTATTA